GGGGAGGATAAAGGGAGGGGGAGAGGAAAGGGAGGAGGAGGGGGAAGGAAGGGGAAGAGGGAGGGAAGGGGAAGGGAAGAGAGGGGAGAGAAGGGGAGGGGAGAAGAGAGGAGGGGAGGGAGGAGGAGGGAAGGGGAGGGGAGAATGAGGAAGGGAAGAGGAGGGGAGGGGGATGGAGAGAAGAGGAGGGGAGAGGGAGGGAGAGAAGAGGAGGGGAGGGGGATGGAGAGAAGAGGAGGAGAGAGGGAGGGAGGGAGGGAAGAGGAGGGGAGAGGGAGGGAGGGGAGAGGAGGGGAGGAGGAGAGAGGGAAGAGGAGGGGAGGGGGGATGGAAGGAAGAGGAGGGGAGGGGGAAAGAGGGGAGAGGAGGGGAGGGAGAAGGAGGGGAGAGGAGGGGAGGGGGATGGAGAGAAGAGGAGGGGAGGGAGAGGGAGGGGAGAGGAGGGGAGTGGAGAGGCAGGGAGGGAAGAGGGGAGGAGGGAGAGGGAGGGAGGGAAGGAGGGGAGAGGAGGGAGGGGAGAGGGAGGGGAGAGGAGAGGAGTGAAGTAATTTAAGAATTTTAAGATGTGTGGAGGTACCCATGAAGTGTCTTTGTGACTAGACAATGGGGCCTCCAGCAAGTCCACTTCCCTATGCCAGCACCTCCTCTGGACAGCAGGACCACATCATCTTAAGGCAGGTCCAGCCAGGTCATCCCACCCCTCAGAATGCCATCCAGGGACAGGATGCCAGACAGGGGTACCCACTTCCTTGCTCACCCAAGGATCCCAGCAGAATCAGGGGCAACAACCAAAGCAGGTGAGTCCTCATCTTGGGCAATGGGAACAAGCAGTGTCTATGTCCAGCTAGCACTGGACCAGCCTGTCTTTATATCCCTCTTGCTCTGGTGGGTGGGGCTTTGGTCAGTCTCTCACTCCTAACTGCCTACATGTGTCATCTCTGGGTGTGTGGTTGGAAGGTAAATACCTCCAAGAATTCTTCATCCAGCGCTCCAAACCCTCTCCCATACCCATCCTCCATACCCATCCTCCCTTCCCCTGCTCCCTACAAAGCCCCCAGTCCTGACTCCAATCAGCTGCGCAGCTCTGATTCTAAACAGGCCTTCATTGAGGAACCGTTGTCTGCTCCTTGCACATCTTTAAAAAAAAAAAAAAAAAAGTTCCAGGCAGGGTTGAAACGCCAGCAAAGGAGTCCCAGGTCAGAGGGCCCATAAGGGGGCATGCTCACAAAGCTCCACTCCTTAGTGTGTAGATGGCGTTTTCCCCTCATGTCCTCGAGGCCCCTTTGGGCCTCTCAGCTCCTCCAATAAGCCCAGTGAGGTTACTCTCCATGGCCTTTGAGGAGACAGAAAAGGAATCAACAATGATGTTCACTCAATAAGCAGAAAAGAAAGGAGACACCATAGAGAACCGTGGGCTGGGGATGTTTGGTGTTGGTGTACTGGGAATGCTGGGAACAGTGGCCTAGGGGTGCTAGGTATCAGTGAACTGGGGTGCTGAGTGTCAGTATATTGGTAATGCTGGGGCCCAGTGGGCTGGGGTGCTGAGCTTTAGTGAGATGAGGATATTGGGGTTCAATAAACTGGGGACACTGGACATCAGTTGGCTGGGGACTTTGGAAGCAGCAGACTGGGACTGTGGGAGACAGGGGGCTGGAAGGAGGTCAGCAGCCACTGGCTGACCATTGGTTGAACAGGACTCAGCACTATAAAGATATTCAAGCATCGCAAGTGTAGAAATTGGCCTTTCTTTCCAACTTAAAACATTCTAGATATCCATTGTGTCCCCATATTATAACAAAAAAAAAAGGGGAACAGCCGGATCACAATGAGGTTATGGCTTCCCATGCCCTGGATGCTGTGTCTGGCCATTGCTAACAATTGTTCCCTAACAGACTTGAGGCTCCAAGAGAAGGAAAGCACCCTTCTGTCCCACAGGCTCCTGTCTGGCTCTCCTGTACACAGTAATAGCTATCACTCTCCTGAAGCCCAAGCAATATTTAGACAAGCTAGTGACCATACAGAGCCTAGCCTGTCATAGGCAGACACATTGGTCAGGACTCATAGGAAACCCCAGTGTCAGGGTCACATCCCACCCAGACCATGGCCATCAACCAGGCACGGCAGCCTACTGTACCTGGAGCAGCAGTCACGCACACAGGGAAGTGGCAGGCCTCATAGCAATTCCCAAACAAAACAGATATTCAAGCATCTGGTCAGCCAGTCTGTGGTTGAAGGCTGTTCAACCTCTGCCACTCCGCTGTCATGATTACCTTCTCCGAGCTAATGAGGGCTCAGGGGTCATCCCAATGAGGCACAAGTTTCCTGATAAGGAACTTGAGCAACACCTTGACCAGTCATAGTTGACAGACAGAAGGCAACTATGTCTTGGTCCTCTACACAACTTACACAGTACAGCAGGAAGTCATCCTGTCTGCAGAACACCACAGCTACATATATCCTAAGCCTAGGACAAATGGGTACACTGTCTCACTCTAAGGTTGTTTACTCGAGAGGAATGAACTACAGATTTGAGCATGGGGAGATGACACTGGGAGCCAGCCCTAAATGTCATCATGGAACCTGCGCAGAAGTGAGGCTGAGGGCTGCGGAGATGGCTTGGGCTGAAGAGTTTTGGTTTACAAGCATGAGAACCTGAGTTTCATCCTCAGAACCCACGTGAAAAGCTGGGCGTGGTGGTATGTGCTTATAATCCCAGCATTAGGAAGATGGGGATGGACAGATCCCTGGGACTTGGTGACCTCCAGGCCAGTGAGAGACCCCGTCTCAAGAGAAACAGAGAGAGAGAGAGAGA